TCATAACTATTTAGGTTTCTTTGGTTTTATTTTTATTCTTTCAGAGGATTCGATGAACGAGATACGGCATCAGGCCATGATAGAGTTGCAAAAGCTCGTGTTGGCCGCCGAAAATAAAATGATCGAACTGGTGGCCGCGGAGAGGACGAAAATGACGACAAACAACTGCAGGAGCTCAGCGTCCGGCTCGGCCAGTCTGCAGATATCGCCGTCGTTGATTTCGCAGTACAACGTAAGTCACGCGTGCGATTTGTCGGATTGAAATAAAAATAATTAGGATTGTGTGTTCGGACGAGACGATGGTGATACTTGATGCGCTTATCGCTGTATACAATAATTAGTGTTTCATGAAATATTTCTGTATTCGAATAATTGTTATATTTTTTAATAAGTTTTATTTTTACGTATAATTCTCACCTTCGCGATTTTAAAATATTAGGAAAAACGATCACTGCTACTAATATTACTACCTTATCAGTTATCACTCATTAGTGATGGTTTTCTTCGGTTGAATTATTGATAAATATAATCATCAAATGTATTAGAAAAATTTCAATGTTTCACGTTTTTGTGAAATATTTCATCACATAATGGTGAAATGAGCAAAGTCCAAAATATCTAATACAATTAAAAACAATTAATGTCAATACTAAAATAGCGGGTGCGTGCTACAATCAGCACCCCCTCCTCAGCGGGCACCATTCTTGGTTAGTATTCTGACAAATACGACCGATTTAATTAACCACATCGCGGAACATATTACTTCCTATGGATAATATTTAAAAAAAAAAAAACTTATCGACATTAATTATATTCATTTCGTGAAATTCATGATGCGTTCTTTTTGCACATCACTATATATAGCCTATATAGGTTAAGTTAGGTTAGGTTAGCTGCCAACAGTACTCGTCGCCGTCGTGCTTAGTTATTTAATTTTTTTTTTTTATCGCGGAGAGCAGTCTCTAAAGCCGATTCCATAATATTTACTTACTCCAGCGACTTCTTATTATTATTATTCTTCAACCCTCTAATAAATTCCTATTTAATATTATATGTATACATACCGTTTCAAAATATTATTGTAATACTGTGCAGACCTCAGTTATACGTGCCGTCCACCATGTGTGTGTGTGTGAGTCGTGAGTGGGTGGGTGGGTATGTGTGAGTGAGTATATTTATCCTACCGCGTTGTTACCATMTGGTCCACAGTCTCAAGCGCATACTCCTCTCTCGATTTTTCCGTATAATATATATATGTACAGGGTGGGTTGCCGAGTGTTTT